GTAATGAGAGTTAGAGCTTAGATGTACTTCAAAATCAAACTTCGGAGCCAAAGGAACATAACGTTGGCAAGAGACATTTATGATACTATATTATTCCGTACGTCATCCAATTGTTTTATGGCAAATGTACCTAGGGGTGTTAACGGGCCGAGCCGAGCTGAACTTTGGTCTTAAAAGGCTAAAGGCTAAGCCTATGTTTAAATGTGTCGGCCTTACCAAGCCTGTTACCTGTTACGAATATAATTATCGGCCTGCGGCCTGCCTTATTTACAAAAAATAAAAGTCTGATTTAGCCTGTTAGAAAAAAATAAGACATTAAAAATTTATCCAAACAAAATATACAATCAACAACACTAGTAATTCCATAAATATTCATAAATTCAATGTATATCCAAACAGCATAATATAGAACCAAATCATTCAAAAAGTCTGTTTAACTAATAAAATAGGGGTGAAATAGATTGAGAGGAGAGAGGGGATATTACAAATAGTATAAAAAATATAAATAAAAATTAATATACTAGGCCAGCCTGAGAGCCTCCAAGGTCGAGCTTTTGAATTGGAGCCTGAGGCCTTTTTACTAAACGAGCATTTATACAAGTCCAAGCCTGGTTCCAACAACCAATATTAGGCACGTAAGCTCAGGCCTTCACGAGCCGAGACAAAGGCCCCTGGCTCGTTTATCACCCCTAAATGTACCTCTGCTGATGTAGAAGAAAATTTTTGCAGAACACAGAAAATCAGAATACGCATGTGGATTTTGATTTTGTTTTTTTGAGTAAATATCTTTTGGGTCCCTAACAAAAAATACGGTCCCCACTTTAGTCCCTTACACAAAAAAAATAGTCTCGAGGTCCCTAACAAATTCGAAGTGAACCCATCTTAATACTTTTGAGGGGACTAATATGGGTCTTTTTTGAATTTGTGAGGGACTACGATTTCAACTAAATTGGTTCACTTTGAATTTGTTAGTGACCTCAGAGACTATTTTTTGTGTAAGGGACTAAAGTGAGGACTGTAAGAACCCGCACCGTTAATTAAGATATTTAATTAATTAATTATGTGAAAATAGGAAATGATTCCATAATTGACCCTAATAATTATTTATGAGGCTTAATAATCATAATAAGTGGGTTAGAATGCTGAAAGTCGCTTTTCGGAAGAAAAGTACAGATACTGGTTCTGCTAGTCGGTATAAATGCGTACCGAAAAAGTATCCCGGAAAATTAAGGTAAGTGCATGATAATTATTAGAATAATATGTAGGACTTGTAAAACGAGTTTCAAGTCCAAATAAGGAGAACTACTGCTAGAAACCGGTACTGGCTTTGAAAAGCGCGTACCGGAAAGGTGCTCAGAAAAATATAATAAAAATATGTTAATTATTATAAAATTATGTAGTTTCATAATCCAAAGTTTGGGATTAAAATGCTAAGCGTAGCAATTAAAGTTAATAATGTGTGTTAATGCTTATGTGACCTATATATACTCTTATTATGGGCACAAAACCCTAGACTCCTTTCTTTCCTACGTGAGTGGGGCTGGTCGGTTTGTGAGTGAGCATTGTTCCATTGTTTCTTCTCTTATTCTTGACTAAAACTCAACCTTGAACCCATTTTTTTGGTTGTTTCATCATCCTAAACACTTGGTGTGAGTGAGAGGCATCATTGTGGGTGAGTGAGGGTGTTCTTCAGTGGTATTCCAGCTGCTGTGTGTGAGGTTTTGAGGCTGACTTTGGTTAGTTTGTTTGTGAGATCTTGGAGTTGGTACTTTGAGCTTCAAGGTGTCATCTTTGGGAAGAAAGAACCAAACTTGTTGGTCCATTTTTGTGTCCTTGGGTGTGCTGGGCTGTGAGAGCTTCTAGTGAGCTCCAAGAGCATCTCCCTTTGCTGTTTTGAACTTGTGGTATGATCATCAACCTTGAACTTGAGTTTAAGTGTCTAAAAATGGAACCTTGATGCATCTAATGACTAAAAGATGATAACTTGTTGTTGGGTAATGTTGAATACGCCTAGAAATGCATGATTAGGTGTTTAAAATCGGTAAAAAGGGAACCTTTAAGGGATATCTTCACGAAAATGCAAAAACTGCATTCTGTCGTGAAATATCCGGATATCTGCCCGTGAAATATCCGGATATCTGCCCGTGGAATATCCGGATATTGGATATCCGGATATGATATCCGGATATGGGGTTTTGGGATATCTGGATATTGGATATCTGGATATGTGAATCTGTATATCCGGTATCCGGATATGGACAGTGAGATATCCGGATATTTCATATCCGGATATGGTCCCCCCGAGGAATATCCGGATATTCTGGGATTTCGCAGAACAGTAGCTGTGTTGTGTGTATAGTAGGCTATTGGGGGTTTGTGGACCCTAGTTTGATGAAGTTGAACTTCTGTATTTAATGGTCTAAGCCAGAATCATGTGATTAAGGGCTTGTGGCTTTGTTAGAAGCTTTAAGACATAAAACGTAATGAAAAAGTGTTGTCTTTAATTTGTATGCATGTGGTACATGTTTATTGATTCACATTTGGTCCATATCAGATTGTGATCTGCTGTGATTGGACTTTGAGCTTGTGGCATTGGATAGCTAGCTTAGAGGTAAGCTTTCGTGTCCTCGGTTTAGCCACGTTGTGGTTCCACCATGTCCCATGGGGATATGGTATATGCATGTTGTGTTACATGCTTTTGATGTTTTGGAAATGCTGTTGAGCTATTGTATGTTAGTGCCTTGTTGATATGCATGGAGGTGTTCCACCTATACGGTAAGCCTGAGTATGTAGAACATACAAGAGGGTGAGGTTGTGGGTGAGGTGCAAGGGGTGTTCCTTGTACTACATGTAGGGAATAGACGTATTCCTACATTTCTCTGGCCAGTAGATAGTGATTACACACATGCCATAGATATCTGTTGCACTACATAGTTTTGGAACTGATAATGATATAAATGCTTTTTGAACTTATATTGCACATGTAAGTGAGCTTGGGGTGGAAGATCCTTGAGGACCCCTTGTCTTACTGAGATTTCTTGTTTAGAGATCTCATCCCACGTTTGGGGAATGCTTATTTCAGGGTCAGGTAATGTTGAGACCTCAGGCGACAGGAAGCCGGAGCTGAGTTAGAGTGCTGTTATATTATGCTGCAATGATTGGATGCTGGATTTGCATGCTGTTTATATGCTTATAGCTTCAGTTATGTTTATGGAGTTTTATGTTGAGACTAGTTGTTTATTATGTTTATTTGGTGAGCATAGGGATTGTCCATGACACATAGTATTGTTATGTCTTGATTATGCCTTGAGTCTTTTGGTGTTGTAATAATGTATCAGGATATTGTCCGGATTACGAGATGTAATACCGTGATGTAGATACACACATTATTTATATATTGAGGTATTTCAGTAGATGTCTTATTGCAATTTACATATAGGCGATATTTTGTGAAATTGATTAAGTAATCAAGTTGGTAATTGATAATGACGTCATAATTGAAAAGAAAAAGAACATTCTGCATTTTTAATTAAGCACCGCTTAATACGATGTAATGTTAATATTCCGGGTATACACGGGGTGTTACAAGGACAGTGTTTTTTGTTAGGGACCAAATAAAAAGGATATTTATTCTTTTTTTTAAAGTGTTCGCTTTTTTTACTATCAATGTAGATAACTTATATAAAGTGAGCCCAAAACGACGTTTTAAGGCGAAAATCGAAGTATTTTTATAATTATAATTTATTTCAGGATTATAATAGTCTTTTTCATTATAGTTTTTTAAGTTTTCAACAAAAAACGACGTCATCTTAGGAGCGATATAGATAACTTATATGCATTAATTCACTATAGAAACATTAAAACCTTCTTTAAATGACAGAATTTGCATGCGGATTCTAGTGTAAACGTGATTGCTGCAACAACAGTAGAAGTTTCAATAAAACTCATAAAAGTATAAAAATATCCCAAATTTTTCTAGGGAGAAGTTATACTTACTACTTCTTTTTCTTACTACTTCTTACTACTAACTCTTAATCGTTGATTTTCACTAATTTAATGGTTATAATTATTGAAAATTAATAATTAATTAAAAAATATAACCCAATAAATTACCACTGTTAGATTGACGAAAATCAACAATTAAGATTTAGTAGTAAGAAGAAGATGTAATAAATATAATTTCCCCAATTTTTCTATACTGTTTTTTAACATTCCAAATTACAAAAACATATATCACGTGATGAACACGTGCGTCACGCAAATCTCGACTTAGAGTCTGTTTAGATCCTCTTATTTTTAAGTTAGAAGCTACTTATAAGATAAAGCTTAAAAAAAGAGCTTAAAAAAAGAAGCTAAAAGCTGTTTGAAAATTACATAAAAAATTTAGCTTAAAATTTACTTAAAAGCACATATTTCAAGAAGATTAACTCTCTATCTTTATCACTCTTCATTTTAGAAAAAAACACACAATTCAAGAAAAATAGATAAGAGCTTAAAAAAAGCTTCTCATAGGAGCTTTTAGTTTTCAGCTTTTTTCTTCATTATAAAAAAAGAGCTTTTCATTATAAAAGCTTTTTCCAAAACCTGTTTGGCCTAGCTTATGCTTATAAGTAGCTTCTAGCTTAAAAAAAGAGGATCCAAACAGGCACTTAGAGCGTGTTTTCTCACCTTTTAAAAAAAGTGACTTTTATCTCTTCCTTATTTTAAAAGTACTTTTTACAAAAGTTAAAGCTATTTATATTTTTATAAAAATATTTAGTTTTTGAAAAAAATATTTGACTTTTGACTTCTGCTTTTTGTAGAAGTTAAAATTTTTAGCTTCTAAAAAAAGTAAATTTTTGACTTTTTTTATGTGTTCTGCTTTTTTCAAAAGTAGATCCAAATAAACTAAAAATGAAAATTAATTTTTTAAATCAGCTTTTCAAGAAGAAAAAAGTTCATCCAAACGGAGTCTTAAATAATGAAAAACAGAAGTTGTATGAGCTCTCTACGCTCGACGACCTTTGCTTGATCTCTCTGCCCTATGGCCACCGTTGAGCCAACTCAGAACGGCACCGCCGCGGCTTCAGAACCACTCCCTCTCGACAATGCGGCGGCGTAAGCTGACGCCGGCACCGCCACCACTCCGGCTGAGAAGAGATGGCCAGGTTGGCCTGGGATTGCGTGCTTCGGCTCATCGTGCTGGTCAGCAAGGTTGGAATCATCATCACTCGAGCTGACATTCGCATTATCGACGGTGCTGTTGGCACTCCTGATCGAATTGTATGTGGATCTCATCTAATCTCTTTGTTTCTTAGGGTTTTCTTCTTTCTTTTGAATTTCCTTTTGAGCTCTTTCTTTATGTCTATATAGTTTTTTAATTTCATTTGACGAGGTATTATTTGATTTTTGAGGGGAATTATATTTTTATTTGTTCAGCTCTGCTGGATGCTTTTTATGAGTTGGCGTTTCTTGATTAGTTGTTATTCGATTTTGATTTTTCGAAATGTTGTTGTTTGAGTTGATGTGGAAGTAGTGTTTATGTGTTTGATTCGTTTGATTTGATTGTTTCGAACTATGAGAAATTTGATTGATATATTCCATGTTATAGAATATGTGAACATTACATGTTTGATGGATTGCCAATTTCAGTAGTATGAACGTTGGTGCAACATCAGAGGCAGCACAATATGTGAGATATGCAAGCAGGTATGGATCGACCTGTATCTTTGTTATATTAATGGTGTTATCCTGTCATCAATTGGATAATGTCCTCCATTAGTAACCTTTTTGTGTTAGTATGTAACTGTGTGCATAGTTGATTCTGAGCTCATTTCAGATTTGTGCTTACTTTGGTAGTATTGCATTACCTTAAATCCAAGTAAAACCTGCATCATTAATTACAATTTTTCTGCCTATTCATTTATTGCTTCATCTTTCTTATTAAGTTAATCATAAATCTCATTTTATTTTTTCACTTTCATCTCTTTAGACCCGCAACTGTAAAATGTTGGTTTTATGCAATTTCCTATAGTTTCTTGGTTTTTGTCTGGAACTTTAGTCACTAAATTATGAGTTTTTATTTATTTAAAAATTCAACTATTTTACTTTCTTATCAATGTTTACATGCCATGACACATAAAGCTCATTAAATTTTAGGTCTTTCATATGCTATAATTCTTTGTAATGAATCTGATGAGCCCTTGAAAAATGTCTACAAACGTAGGAAATGGAAAAAGGGCCAGGCCCATCAGACAAATAATGCAAAAGTTAGTGAGGTGGCTAATTCGGTTTAAATAATTAATAAAAAGATATGTATGGTAGCTAGAAAAAACAATTCATGCCTCGTCAAAACCAAAATTGTGCATTATTCATGGATGGAGTTACTTTTTGTAGTGGAGCTAATGATAGGGATCATTTGTATGTCAAATTGGAAACCTCATCATTGACAATAATGTACATTTTTTCAATCAGTGATGATATAGTCTGTTTTCATTTACTTTGTCTATCTTCTCAATTTATCGTAATTTTTTTATATCAAGTTGCTTGATACATAATAGAAGATGATGGAGTTCTTCTTAATCAAGCTCTAAAAAAATCTAGTTTTCTAGAGAGGGATATAGCACATAATGGAATACTTGGTTGGGACAGGTATATACATAACGGGAACGGGGGCGGGGGGAGGGAATCGTTTGTCATTCAACAGACAAAATTTTGTGTCATTCTAAGTGAAATAAGCATGATTTGATGCATATATTTTACTTTTACTTGTTTTAGTATTGGGATTTTGATATGCTAAATGCGCAAGGTGATGCAATACTTAATGACTGAGACGAGTGATATAATTATTTCATTCCTACCATACATTCGAACATGTCACTTTACATTATGATGGGATAATATATGTATGGAGAAAAACTTAGTTTCTCCTTATTGTAAATTTATTCTATTGGACGCTTGTCTAAGTTGGATCATTAGCACAACTCATACCACTTGTCCTTCCACGCACACCCATTGGCCCACAAAGAGATCGATACAGTTGATATTAGGATTGATTTCAAGAAAGTGACCCTCATCAAGACCAAACGTTTGACTGATGCTGAAGCAATTTTCACCTTCATCCACTCCATGAACTACATGACATATTGTATCTGCAATTTCAACCCCCACTGCAAAATATATATCAATGTTAGATAGTGGTTTATTATCATCATTTTAGAATTTATATTCATATCACCCATTACATTTTAAATTCACACTTCTCTCGGACTACATCACCCAGTCACTAGATAACAATTATAAATTATTTACATTTGTTCTAAACAATTCAGATGACTCACACGTCAGACTCTAGTTAAGACTAAATCATGTCTGTTATCATAACTATATATAGTCCCCAATAAAGTACACTATATCAAAGGCCATAAACCAGTGTTGCTATAGCAGCACTCAAAATATATATTACTGATTTAGAAAGGCAATTGCAGATTTACCAGCATTTGGTGTTGGTCGACTTTCAGCTATAAACAACATCACCAGAAGACATGAAAAAATCAAGGCAAAGCTGATGTTAGAAGACTTCGCCATTCTTCTTCTAATTCACTTTTTATTTATTGCTCTCTGATGTTAATGTTGTGGTTTTAGATATTGTGGTTAAAGTTTATATAGGAGAAAGCCAATGCGCTTAGAGACAACTGGTTTTCGAGGTATGTCATTTGTTTTGAGGATGGAAGCCGGCTATACCTTAATTCTCTGTAGTCAGCATATAATATTTGGATATAATTTTGGCATTGGTGGTTCAGTGTGCATTTTATCATAAGTTGATGCTTCTTCCCTCCCCTCTTGTAATCTAGTGTCAGTATATAAGTTACAAAATTGCGCATCTAAGTATTTCAACAAAGATGGAATACTAAGATGTACTTATATTTAAGTTACAAAATTGTCTTTGTTTTTTACACACAACAAACTCTAGGGAGACAAAGACAGGTTCTAAGGTTGACCAGCCCTGAATTCAGATAAGCGGAATAATATATATATATATATATATATATATATATATATATATATATATATATATGAGGTAGGATCCTTTGACACCGGTATCAAATTTTAATTTTGACACTTCATCTCAGAATCGTTAGATAAAAAAAATCAATGACTCTGATTTGCAAGCTTCTTAGGTTGAGAAAGGGTGCTAGTCTCTTGTGCTTTCATCTTCACATTCATCAGTGAAGGCTCAAAGATGTCATACATGGGGGACTACATCTCTCCTGAGTGCAGACCTTTTTTATCTAACGGCTCTGAGATGAGTTGTCAAAATTGAAATTTGACACCGGTATCAAAGGATCTTACCTATCTATCTCTCTCTATATATATATATATATATATATATATATATATATATGGCTTCACGAGAAGTTGGAGCTTTTCTACTAAGAGAAAAAGGAGTGGGCCCCACTGTGGAAAAAAATAAAATAAATGGCTGGCTGGCATGAACGTCGAAATGAGAGTAGTAAGAGAAAAGACTTCTCATGCAAGTTTATCACTCTTACTACGTCGTCGGATTATTACTTTGCAAATAAAGTGCACATCTAGCCATCTAGGTATTCCAACTAAGATGGTGAACTCTTTTATTCGTACAATTTCGTTAATTTATTGGAAAAATATATATTTCTAATATTTTTTATTAAAATATTTTTTTGGACATGTTAGAAAAAAGTTTAGACAATAAAAATAATATCATATTTTAAAAACTTACATTATTTTTGCTCATAATTATTTGAACTAAGAACTGAAAAAAGTGAAAAAAAAAATCAAATATTATAAACTTATTAATTTACAATATATAAAAATAATATAATGTTACATATATTTTATTATTTTTTTGAATTACTTTACTGTAACATTTTTTAATTAAAACTAAAGACTAAAATAGTAAAGATGCACAATCTTATCCGTAAAACTTTAAAAAATGTGAAGATGTTTAAAATATTTTTTTATCCCCTTTAAACTTTATCTCGTATAAATTGCATTTATCAAGGGTTTGATTTTTCTGCGATAGTAGCAGCAAAAAGCAAATATCTACCATAAAGACAAAAAAGGGGACCTATTAGTTTTTTCTAAAAAAAAACTACCTGATAAATATATATCTCTGCCGTTACGGCAGAAATGATTTTGCCATTTACTAATTGCTGAAAATATCCTTATATTCTTCCTCTATGTTGTGAATGACCTTTGCAAACCCATTAAGCTCTCTAGAGGTGGGCCCAAGCCCTAAGCTGTCTCATTTGGGCATTGCGGCTGACCGGGTACTATAACTACTACAGATCAGGAGCATATCAAGTGAATTTTGGATCTCTTTTGCATTGGCAAAAGCACTATATTGCTAATATTAAACAAAAATATCTCATGTTCAAAAGCATATGTGGAATGTTTTATCAAAGTAGAGCAGTCAGTCCCGTCACTTTACTTGACACATTCAGTCTCGTCAGTATTGTTGACGAGACTTGTTTCCACGTCTCAAATATTCGTTGAATCTTGTCACAATAGTTGACGGGACTAAAAAAGCTAATGTCACATTCTTGTCAACATAGTTGACGGGATCAAAGGAAAAATACTTTCGTAATTCCTTATTTCATTAGTATACTAAGTAATTCAGTTTATTATACTAATTTCTTATTTCATCGCATCATATCTAATCATTTCTATACTAATTCCTTATTTCATAATTCAGTTTACCAAAAAACAAAAATAAAACACTTCTCATAAATTATATTTATTATTTACCCTAAACACTAATTACAATTACTAAGTAATTATTTCATTAGTAATTAATTTTTTTAGTAAATCATTTTCTATCCTAGGGTTAAATATTTAATTAAAATAATAATTATACACTAATTATAATTGTCACATTATTATTTAATTACTACTTCCTTATTTTCTATCATAGGGCCTAAATTATAATTACTGTTTAATCATTTCTATACTAATTCAAAATTTCATAATTCAGTTTACTAAAACAAATTATATTATTTATTTAGCCTAAACACTAATTACAAGTACTAAGTAATTATTTTATTACTAATTAAATTTTTTAGTAAATCATTTTCTATCTTAGGGTTAATATTTAATTAAAATAATAATTATACACTAATTATAATTGTCACATTATTATTTACTACTTCCTTATTTTCTGTCGTAAGGCCTAAATTATATTTATTATTTAGGCTAAATAATAAATTAATTTATAAAAGTGTTTTTTTTTGTTTTTTGGTAAACCGAATTATGAAACTTTGAATTAGTATAGAAATGATTAAGCAGTAATTATAATTTAGGCCCTATGATAGAAAATAATGTAGTAATTAAATAATAATGTGACAATTTTAATTAGTATATAATTATTATTTTAATTAAATATTAATCCTATGATAGAAAACCATTTACTAAAAAAATTAAGTAGTAATGAAATAATTACTTAATACTTGTAATTAGTGTTTAGGCTAAATAAAAAAATATAATTTATGAAAATGTTTTTTTTTTTTTGGTAAACTGAATTATGAATTAAGGAATTGGTATAGAAATGATTAGATGTGACGCGATGAAATAAGGAATTAGTATAGTAAATTGAATTACTTAGCTATACTAATGAAATAAGGAATTATTAAAGTATTTTTCCTTTGGTCCCGTCAACTATGTTGACACAAATGGATGACGTGGCATTAGCTTTTTTAGTCCCGTCAACTATTGTGACAAGACTCAACAAATATTTGACATGTGGCACAAAATTGGTGCAGGTTACTGACGTGAAAACAAGTCCCGTCAACAATACTGACGGGATTGAATGTGTCAAGTAAGGTGATGGGACTGACTGCTCTACTTTGACAAAAAATTTCACATGTGCTTTGAACAGGAGATATTTTTGCTTAATATTAGCAATACGGTGCTTTTGCCGCTTTGCATTAGCTTATGCAAAATTGTTAATACAGAGACTAGTGCTGACTTTGATTATTGTTTTGAGTTTCATTGGCTCATGAGTTTTTTCATGCACGATGTCTCTTGGTGGGCTATATATAATAACCGCCATATGTAGTATGGATTTAATAATTTTAATCATGTTATTGAGGAATAATTATAAGAAAAGTAGAAGAAAAAGAAATAAAGTCACTTTTAGTGAAAAATGAGTTAAAATGACAGTTAAGTGGTAAAAATGCGAGTAAACAAAGTTACCCTAAAGTGAAAAGTAAAATTATAAATATTTCCATAAAAATATTCTGGACTAGTGTACAACGTTGGAATGAGAGTTTAGTGAGCAGGATAGATAAGTTTATACCCATTAGGTAAAACAACATCACTTTAAGTACAAACAACACTATCTTTCTCCTCATTTTTCTTCGCCGTCGACAGAAGCTCATTTCCATGGCATAAGAGGTTGTGATTTTTCAAAAAATCATAACTCTCTCATTTCTCAACGAAATGCATCCGTTCCAAAGCCAAAACCGCTTCAAATCTTCTCCTCTTTCTAAATCATAACTCATTTTTGGTTGGGGTTTATTGTGGAGAGAGATATCCTCATCCAAAGATTTCGTGGGTTGTGTGTTTGGGTTGTTTGAGAGGTTCCCACTCCATGGAAGCTTGAAAGGAGTTGCTCTCATCGTTTTAGGGTGTTGTGCGGTGAGTTTCCAACTCTTGAACTCCATTTTCTTGAAATTTTCGAATCTAGGGTGATGATGAATAGTGACCATCCGAAAATTGATATTTTAGGAGATTAATAGTGATTGGTTGTTATTGTTTCATGTTGTAGAGTTGATCCCAACGTTGTTTTGAGCAAATTCCACGGATTGGAATCCACATTCGCTTGAGTTTGAGATTTGTGGATTTTTCATATTGAGGTAAGTCATGGTATGGATAGTTAAAGAGTGATTTTGACATGAGTCCCTTTTGTTAAACATGCTTAGGATTGGTTCCCGTAAAAAAGAAAGATTATAAAATCGCCATTTAGGACACTTTGATAAATTGGATTAAAAATCAAGTGTAGATTTCTTGTAGGTGTAGTTATGAAAATTTAACGTAGTAGACTGGGATATAGGAATACTGATTGTCTTCACATATTGGAACTAGGTTGTGACTTTGTGAAAGATCGTGACTCTGTGGACACGAGAATTATTGGAGGACTTTGCTCGCGAGGTAAGCTTTCGGTCCTTGAGGTTAATCCCTCGTTTGTTCCACCAAACTCAGAGGGAGGTTGGTAGTTTCATATGGTATGTGAAAATGATGATATATGGTGCATGTATATGTATGTATGTTTGTGTGCCACACAAGACGGTGTTTCCTTGTGCGTGAGGCATAAGACAGTGTTTCCTTATGCATAGTATGAGACGGTGTTTCCTCATACGGTATGTTGGAAGACAGTGTTTCCTTGCGTAATGCATACTTGTTGTATTCTCTGGCCAGTAGGATTACATTATTGCACACTGCATTGTCATACATATTCTGATGCATGCATGGATTTTTATACTGTTATTATACCAGAAGTGAGCTTAGGGGTGGAGGAGCCCTCCAAGGGTCCCTAGCTTACTGAGGTAATTATATTATCTCACCCCGCGTTATAGGGATTACCATTTCAGGTACAGGAACTGATGGTGCTGAGGCATCGCGTGGCAAGAGGCCAGATGAGAGATACTACTTGACATTATTGTCAGGGTCTTACGGATATTTAGATTTGTACCTGACATACTTTATTTTGGGTTGTATGTGCCATGTATTTTTTTAGAGCATAGGAGATGTCTATGCCATATTGATAGTCTGTATATACTATTAATGATGCATGCTCAGGTCTATGTTACTTATTTAATTGCATCTCTTTTGTTTATTTGATGTAATTATATAAGTAACATCATGGACATTATTTTGAGACAGTATGATTATGAGATAGCCTAGGCCATGGATGGCTGGGCAATATATTTTATCTATGTTGTGGTATGCCTGAGTTATATTAAACTGTCAATCAGGTTGAAATTATCATAGTGGAAATTATCCCCAGATGTCCAAAATATAGAGGAAATGTTGTCCGTTTTATTTTAGCCATGGAAGTGAAAAAGTTTGCAAAACATAAAGAAAAAGAGAAAATTATTTAGTTAGCTTCCGCATTAATTAAGTTGAGCATGCTGCGCTTACTATCATATAAATGTTAATTAACCGGCTGCAGACGGGGCGTTACACTATACTGCCTAGACTTAGCTGAAACCTTGTGCCTGTCATTTAGTCATTGTCTATTAAGGAGATTTATCACTCTTTTGTTGCTAGTACTTTAGATGTTTCCTTGTGAGATAGCATGTATGCATCTCTAACATGTTTCCTTATGGATTAAATCTTTGCTCTGGGTCTTATGTTGGGTTGTTGTTGGACTGGACCTTCTATATCGTATAGTATAGGTTATATTGAAAAGAAGTTTTTGTATATTGATATTGAATAAATTACATGAGTGAGTATTTATACAAGAAAGAATCGCTAAGAATGACTAAGCGATGACTAATCAATCCTATCACAATCCTAATCACAATCAATTCTAATCAATCACAATTAATCCTAATCAATCATAATCAATCCTAATTAATAGGAAATAAAAACGGAAACATGTTTGAATTCTAATTTTCTACACTCCCCCTCAAGTTGGGAGGTAAATATTGATCATTCCCAACTTGCCAATCAAGTCTTCGAATGCTGGACGGTGTAGGCCCTTGGTAAGGACATCTGCCGTTTGCTCTTTGGTTGGAACATATATCAAATGCACACTTCCATCATCTAATTTTTCTTTGATGAAGTGACGATCAACTTCCACGTGCTTTGTTCGATCATGATGCACAGGATTTTGAGCAATGCTAACAGCTGCCTTGTTGTCACAATATAGTTTTATTGGTAGGGAATATGAAATCTTCAACTCTTGAAGAAGTCTTCTCAACCAGATTCCTTCACAAACTCCATGAGCTAAAGCTCGAAATTCTGCTTCAGCACTACTTCTTGCAACCACTGTTTGCTTTTTGCTTCTCCAAGTAACAAGATTTCCCCACACATAGGTGCAATAGCCTGAGGTAGATCTTCTGTCTACTGATGAGCCTGCCCAATCTGCATCAGTGTAGATTTCAATTGTCCTTTTATACCCCTTTTTAAAGAATAATCCTCTTCCTGGAGTATTCTTGAGGTATCTAAGCACCCTATAGACTGCACTAAGATGCTTCTCCTTGGGTGAGTGCATGAATTGACTAATCATACTCACCGCAAAGGCAATGTCAGGACGCGTATGAGATAAGTAGATTAGTTTACCAACCAATCGCTGATATTGTTCTTTATCCACCTCATTCCCATCTTCAATACCTAACTTGGTATTAGGTTCCACAGGTGTCTCAGCAGGTTTACACCCTAACATTCCTGTTTCCAACAAAAGATCTAGAACATATTTCTTTTGTGTTAGAGTGATGCCTATTTTGCTCCTAGCAACTTCCGTACCAAGGAAATATTTGAGAGTGCCAAGGTCTTTGAGTTCAAATTGAGCTGCTAGAAATTTCTTCAAGGTGTTCAATTCCTCAATATCATCACCTGTAAGAATTATATCATCTACATATACAATAAGAATAGCAATTTTACCATCCTTAGAGTGTTTGTGGAAGAGAGTATGATCAGTCTGTGCTTGAATGAAGCCTCTTCTTTTGACTGCTTGTGTGAATTTGTCGAACCATTCTCTGGGAGACTGTTTCAATCCATATAGAGACTTTTTTAGTTTACACACTGATTCATTTCCCCTTTCAAAATCAGGTGGAGGATCCATATAGACTTCTTCATGTAAGTCACCATTTAGGAATGCATTCTTCACATCTAACTGTTGCAGAGGCCAATCTAGATTGGCAGCAAGAGATAAGAGAACTCGGATGGTATTGACTTTAGCAACCGGAGCAAAAGTCTCATGATAATCTATCCCATGAGTCTGAGTGAAACCCTTTGCAACCAATCTTGCCTTGTATCTGTTGATGCTATTATCTGCATTGAATTTTATTGTAAACACCCATTTGCATCCTACTGCCTTTTTTCCTTTGGGTAGGGTCACTATCTCCCAAGTTCCATTTCTTTCTAAAGCATTCATTTCTTCAAAGACAGCATCCCTCCATTTTTTATCATTGAGAACCTTGGGATACATCACCCCAAAAGCTAGCTCAAAGGGTGAGAGTGCTCAAGGCCTTATAAACTCCACATTAGTTGTGCACATACAACCAACGTGGGACTATATATCTCAACACGTCCCCTCACACGAGAGCCCATTGGGCTTGAAGAGTGGACAATGCAACAGGCTCAGCCTACCTGTGCACCTGTGCTAAGAAACGCCGCAAGAGAAAGTGGGGGACGGCGAGGCTCTGATACCATGTTAAGAACCTTGGGATACATCACCCCAAAAGCTAGCTCAAAGGGTGAGAGTGCTCAAGGCCTTATAAACTCCACATTAATTGTGCACATACAACCAACGTGGGACTATATATCTCAACAGGTTAGAGCCGTCAAAACGGGCCAGCCCGGCCCGTTAGGCCCTAGCCCGCGCTGGCCAGGGCCAAAAAGCCCGCATATCAAATAGCCCGCACGGGCCAAAAAATCATATAACCCTCCAGTTAGTGCCAGCCCGCGGGCCAAAAAGCAACTATATTTTAACAATACTTTACAGTTTCTTCATAAGATCCTCAATTTTCTTAACAGCTTGATACATATTTTTCTGTTAGATTTCTTCCAATAGCAAAGGGCAAGTTTTGTATCTAGGCACAATATCTAGACTTGTTTGCATCCAAATTATCTAAGCTGCTTACACCACTTACACTACAGTTCGTAGAGAATGATTCTGTAGGTGACAAGGTTTCAAGGGCATCAGAATAAAAAACATCATCATCATCCTCTTCCATATTTTTTATTTTCTCATCTTTTCCTTCTTTATCACAATCTATTTTACTTACACTGTCACTCAAAGAGTTTGATTTACTTGAGGACCTGAATTTATTTGCAACATTACATTCCTTTTCCAATGGCTGTTTAGCAACATTTGTGGACTTTCCAGGGGGAAGACATGGGTTTGGAGTAATTGAAGCCTCCTCAAGAGGTCGAGGTTCAGATCCACCATTACCCTTGGGTCTTCCAGAGATATGCTCCCAATTGAAAGGCACTGCAACAGGTTCTGTTATCTGATCTAAGGTTGTATCTGACTTATAGAATGGAAGAGCTTGTTGCTTCTCTAATATCTTTCTCTTTGCTTCAGTTAAGGATGGTGATGGACCAGAAGAGTGCCTCACAGACATAAGAGGAGCATTAATATTCAATTTCCTTTCATCCATCATGTTTCACAACTGAGCTTTTCTTTGCATCCCACTCTCAATAATAAGTTCAAGGTTCAAGGCAACATCATTTACTAATTTCAGCAGTGGGGCCAAAAAAGATGAGTTAAAAATCCTTCTATTCAATCAATAAATTCTGGAAAAAAAAGGGTAGAAGAATCTGATCATTAACATTTTAAATTACAATATAAATAGCAAATTCTATGTTTCGAATTTCTATTCGACAGGATTTGAATCAAGATCAGAGAAGCACCAATGATGCAGCTAATGAGAATAAGTAATGGTCTATTGAGAGATTGGAAAGGGAAAAGTAAACATTCAAGTTATAAAATTTTCAATCTCAATTGATTTGAAAACCAAAGATTTAAACCTAGGATTCATTAAAAAGCCCTTTTTCCTCTTCTCAATGCAAATATAAACAATTGCAAGGCTTGATAACAACAAAAGAACAAATGACAGAGGCTACTATCTAATTTCGAAAAAACCATGGTCATGAAAAGGGCCATAGGTGGTGATAAATAGGAACTGAATTCTGCTTCACAATATAATCACACACAAAAAATTAGCACCGAGTCTTTGAGCAACTTGTTACTTGTCAATGAGAACTGACATCTTATGTGAGCAATTTATATAGCCATATATATTGAACCATAACACAGCTATGGAAGTTAAGTTTTCCATTTTTTGGGAGTTTCATCAAGTTTGAATGAAATAAAACTAAAAATTGAACTCAATACAGGAAATCACAGAAATAAAAATGAAAAAAAAGGATTCTAACAAGGAGCAAAATCTAGATATGCCGCTATACTAACAGTCTAAATTTAAAAAAGGAGAAAAAGAAAAATACAGAACAAAAAAAAATGCAGAGGTTTTTGTGCATGAAATTGAATGAATTGCTGGAAATAAGAAAAGGAGATTAGGGACTCACCACCGTGGTGTTTCCCGAAGAAATAGTTGTGGCAGAGATTGGTTCGTGGTGGCTCGGTTAATCCACTTACAAGATAAAGAAAAAAATACGAAACTAGAAGAAGAAGAACGAAACCATACTCTGTGAAGAAGAAGAACCGGGTGAAGAAGAAGAAATGGGAAGAAGAAAAACTCGACAAGAGAGAGAAACGAGAAAATGGGGTTTTAGGGTTTAGAAAAAAAAAAAGAGTGGGCTGGCCCGCGGTTAACCCCACCCTAACCCAAAAGAAATGAGGGTTAATGGGGCTAGGGCCAAAACTAACCCTTTCATATGTGGGCTGAAAAAAAAAAGGGCTAAAAATTGGGGCTGTAGGGCTCAGCCCGCGGGCTGGGGGCTGTTTTGGAAGCTCTAGTATAGGTCCATATCAAACATCACCGAAAGAGTGTTCATCTTAGAGGGCGATTTAATTTGCACACTAGGTTGTCATAGGTTCATCTCCTATCTATATTTTGGGTTATGATTTGTATTAAAAAAAAAAAAAAAAATATGAGTGTAGGGTACGAAAATTCATATGCACCATAAATAAAGGTTTCTCTTTCTTCCACATTTCTTTTCACACATTTGTGAACAATTGTTTCTATATTTATGTATTAGGAGTTTAACCTTTTGTATGGGCTTTTGATTTGTCTTTGTTGTTGTTTTGGACTTAGTCACTAGACATGCTTCATAACATGAGGTAAGCTATTTTATGTTGGAGAAGAGAAATAATGATCAGACCTTTGTGTATAGATCGATCTCTGTTATCTAATTAGTGTAGCAATGAGAAATTTGTCAACTTCTGAATTTTATGCTTGATACTTACAATTGACATTGTGTATCTTTGTTTTAAGAATTGTTTGTTAGAAAACATCGTTCTTTGAAACTGATCTGGATAATGTGTGGTCGATTCTTATTTTCACAATTATCCTCTAGCAATCTCAGGAATGAGTTGCAGCACACACTCACTTTGAGGTTTTTAAGCTTTGAACCAAAGATTTTTGGAATTAGATATTACATATAGGAATGTATATGGTAGAATTTGAAGGGATCACATTAAGTTTTAGAGGAATTTGGGCTTATATCATCAAAACTGGAGTAATGGATCATTGCTGTTGTGCAATGTTAGAGCTTAGAGATGCTATAGCATCAGTTTGGGGAAAGTCATCTCCAACCGATTTCTCTTCACCAATTCTTAGGTTTTCAGTGTTTGTATGTTCTCGTTTCAACTTCATCTTTATTTCTTTCATTCTCGAAAACCAAAAACAAATGGGTCACTGTTTTTTATTTTTATTTTCTTAAAACTGTTTTGTAGAATAATTATGGAAACAATTGTTTTCTGTATTTATTTATTTTTGAAAGTTAAAAATCAAAACAAAAAACAAAAACAACTCAGACATATTCTCTAAATTTAATTCTAAAAACAAAAAAGTAACAGTTTTTTTTTTTTTTTTTTTACAAAACAGATCTTATTAAACAAGTTTTTTTATTTTTTTGTTCTGAAAACTAAAAAACTATTTTTAAAAACAGTAATCAAACACTGAGAGCCATATACTTGCTGTTTTCCTTTACAACATTTATTTTTCCAAAGTTGATTATTCTTTATTCTTCTTTGTGCAATTGAATCTACTTCTTAAATCTGATTCTTATAACATTTTCTGTCAGACAATAATCTGAACTCAAATGATTCCTATATTATTTGGGATGCATGCTCTTGCGCAATAGTTATTTGATGTAGTTTTATCTCCTTTTATGTAGGAAACGACCTATTATTTATTATTAAGTATTAACATGGACCAAATTAATACTTTCAGCCAAAAATGTCAAAAAGGAACAATCGTACTGCTGTTCAAGACCCGCCCTCCAAATATGTATCCTTATTATATTTAATTATTAACTAAATGTATTAAATATATCATGGAATATCTAGAAGCGTAGGTCTTGAATTTTATTATGTATATTATACGGTTAAATATAAATATATACTATATCATGCGTAACTTTGACCCCCGGGATGGAAGTAATTTACTTTTACTAGTTAGGATTGGGATGTTGACACGCCAAATGTATAAGATGATGCAATACTTAATGACTGAGACGAATGACAATTATTTCATTCCTTTCATAAATTCGAACATATCACTTTGGATTATGATGGAATAACGTAAGTATGGAGAATAACTTATTTCTCCTTATTTACATTTATTTTATTGGACGTTTATTTAAGTTGGATTATTGGCACAACTCAAGCCACTTGGCCATCCACACACACCCATTGACCTACAAAGAGATCGACACAATTGATATTGGGATTGATTTGAAGGAAGCTACCCTCATCTAGATGAAATGTTTGACTTATGCTGAAACAAGTTTCACCTTCACCCACGCCATGAACTAAGTTACAAATCGTCTCTGCAAATGCAAGACCCACTGCAAAATATATAGATAGGTCAGATAGTGGTTTATTACTATCATTTTTTTATTTTTTTTGGTGAAATATTATTATCATTTTAGAACATATGATCATATCACCCATTCTTAGAAAATAATATAAACCATTGAAAAGGTCATTACCCAGCACATTAAGGTTTTGGGTTGAAGTGGTCATTTACGTAATATTGAAACTTCAGTGACCACAAGGTCACGAGTTAGATCTTCACTACTTCCCCCCACCCTACTTTCTTGTAGAATTAAATAAGCTTAAGGTAAAAAAAAAAAAAAAAAAAAGGCCCTATAGAATATCCACGCTTCAAGCCCAAAGGACTCTTGAGTAAGGGTATGTGTTAGAGAATAATATAAACTATTAAAAAGGCCCTCACCCAACACCTTAAGATTTTGGGTTTAATTAGTTTATCAAAACTTTAGTGGCACGAGTTCGATCCTCAACGTCTCCCACTTTCTATTGGAACTAAATAAGCACAAGGTAAAACCAAAAAAAAATTGGGCATGTGTAATATTCACGTTTCAAGCCTAAAAGACTCTTGTGTGAGGAGGTGTTAGAAAATAATATAAATCATTAAAAAGATCATCATCCAAAACCTTAATATTTTGAATTGAATTAATTCTTTACACCCTTACATTCTAATATAAAAGCTCTCTCTATCTATCACTAGATAAGAGTTATAAACTATGGAACAGTGACCAAAATGTCATTGTTCATCAACTTTTTTACTTAAATGTCACGCGAACAGTGTTATTTCTCAATCTGCCACGGGGGCAAGTTCGCTACCCGGTATAGCGAACTCGGTTTGCTGACGTGTCACGTTTCTAGTGGACACCAACTTGATTTTAACCAAGTTCGCCTACATGGTAGGCGACCTTCATTTTTTTTTTATTTGATACTTGTTATCCATTAAAAATGTGACACGTCAGCAAATCGAGTTCGCTACACAGGGTAGCGAACTTGCCCCCGTGACATATTAGGAAATAATATTATTCGCGTGGCATTTAGATAAAAAAATTGGTAAACAGTGACATTTTAGTCAGTGTTCCTATAAACTATTTACGTTCACTTTACACTAGTCAGATGAGTCACACCTTAACTAAATCATGTGTCTTATCATAACCACGAGATGAAATTTATAAGATATTGGGTGAGGTGGAGGAGAGATAATGAAAGAGAGATTAATGAGAGAGAAGAGAAAAAAAAAATTTGTCACTCCCTTAATGAAAGGACTATCATAGTCCATGACTATATTAAAATTTTTCAATAATCACGTATTGCCCCCAATAAATTATGGGGAAAACACTTCTCTGAAGTGCCCTTTCATGTGTCAGAGACATGGGACTGTGGGCCCCATCTATTTAGAAAAAAAAAAATTGAGTACAATTATCAAAGTGACAGCATGAGAAGATTTGTTGTGCAGCAAAATAAGAGATAGAAACCCCATAAATTATACCATACTAAAAGCTATAAACCAGCGTTGCAAGATGCACTCAGAATATATATTACTGATTTGAAAAGACAATTGCAGATTTACCATATGGTGTTGGTCGACTTTCAGTTATAAAAGTCATAATGAGAAGACATGAAAAAATCAGAGAAAAGCTGATGTTGGCTGACTTCGCCATTCTTCCTCTTCCAATTCCCTTTTAAATTATTCTCTCTAATGTTAAAATTGTAGTTTCAGACATTGTGGATTTAGTTTATAGGACTAGGATAAAGCCAATATGTGCATAGAGACAACTAGTTTAACTGAATTATCTAGGCAGCATATACAGGATATACCTTAGTACACAACTTAGTATTCCAACTAAGAAAATTACATATCTAGCTAGTATCGCTGAAACACTGTATGATAGCTACCGAGTCGGCATCGATTTAAGTTTTTCTTGTACTTAGGGGATGTTTGGTACACAATATAAGATAAGACCTGATAGTATAAGGTTTAATTAAATTTTAATATTATCCAGTGTTTGTCATGATATTGTATAAGATAATATATTGTATAAGATAATATCATCCAATATTTAATAATGTACTGTATAATACTAGATAAGATAAAAATAAATATTTTTAATAAAAATACCTTTTAATAATGAATTTATATAATTCTCCCAAATATATCATATGATATTAATTTTTATAGAAATTTGTTGATCAGTGTATCCAAAAAAATATATTAATTTTTATAAAAATAAAAATCTCAATATTTTAAAAAATTATATATTGAAAAATTATTTTTTATTTTAATATATTAATATTTAAATAATATATTAATTCTTGAGAGGTACATTGGTTAATACATCAATCCCTTATCAAGCCAAATATTACCCTCCTAGGCTTGATTAAGTTATACAAGGGATCCTGCTGTATAAATTTATACTTTACGATGGTTACACCAAATAACTAAAAATGTCATAACGTATAGTATAAGCTTATACTATCATACCTTATACATCACACCAAACAGACCCTTATAGTTAATCCATGTGGATGATTAGTCAGTACTAAAAAAAACAAGGATTTGGGATGGAATTTTTCCATCCCGAAAGGGTATAATACCGTATAAATCACATAATGTTACTTTTTTTAACATAAATATCCAATCTAGATAATCTAGCAAAAATAACAAATATTAATCAAATATGTTATAGGAACATGGTTAACATTGCTTACCCTAGCCAAATAACTCAAATTTTTCA